AATAAATAAATAAATAAATAAATAAATAAATAAATAAATAAATAAAGAGTAAGAGAGCTTGGTGTGGTGGTTCATGCCTTTAATTCCAGCAGGGAGGTAGGGGCAGGGAAGTAGGCAGGTCTCTGTGAGATTGAGAACAGCCTGGTCTCATAGAGAGTTCCAGACCAGCTAGTGCTACAAGATCTTGCCTTAAATGTGCCTCCCCCGAACCAAAAAAAAAATAAGAGGGCTAGATGTAGGCTCAGTGGTAAAGTGCTTTCCTAAAATGTGTGGAGTCCCTGGGTTCCATTCCTAATGCCACAGAAAGAGAAAAAGAAAGAAAAAGGATATTAACTTGAACAACACGGATGTCAGAAGACTAATAAGCAAGGCCTTTTAAAATTCAGAAACAAAAATCTTTCTAGAATAGAAGGCTGTACTCAGATAGAGCATCAGTCCAGACATTGTCAAACATGGACATTTCAAAACTGCAATTCCCACATAATGTGTTTTTTCTCAAGAAGCTACGCCCTCAAAATGAAATAGTAGGCCAAGAACGTCACAAGACTCAAGAATCAGGAGATCCACAACAAGATGAAACCTATGAAGTGTACCTAGAAAGAAGCCAGTACAGTGACAGTATAAGGATGTAGGCCTCAAAAGAAATAGCTCCTGGAGAAAGAAACCTGGTATGTCATTTTAATCTCTAAATTACTGGGGGTGGAGAGAGTTGAGAAGGTCTTGCTATGAAAGCCAGGCTGGCTCAAACTCATGGCAATCCTTCTGCCTCAGCCTCCCAAGTGCTGGGGTTATACATATCTACCACCATGTGGGGCTCATTTTAATCCATTTTACCATGTAGAAAATAGTACTGAACGGATTTACAGATATATCTGTAAATTTGGTAATAGGTAAACAGAAAGATATGGAAACAAATGTGGCAATCATTAACACCAGGAAAGTAAAGCTACCAAGGACAAAACGAGAGAAATATTACCATTGTGTACTGATGCTCAGCAATAAAGATTTATATTTTTATAACAGTATATCATAATGACACAAATACTGATTATCAACTTACTCCAAAAAGGAAAACAAAAAGATGATAAACCAAGCTAGGATTGGTAGCTCATATCTATAATCTCAGCACTTGAGAGGTGGAAGTAGGAGGATCAAGAGTTCCTATGTGGGCTGGAGAGATGGCTCAGTGGTCAAGAGCACTGGCTGCTTTCAGAGGACCCACAGTCAGTTCCCAGCACCCACAGGGCAGCTCATATCCATCTTGTGACTCCAGTTCCAGGGGATCTAATACCTCTTCTGGCCTCTGTGGGTCTGCACACATGAGGTGTTCTTACATACATGTAGGCAAAACACTCACACACATAAAATTAAGATAAGTTAAAACAAATTTTTTTAAAGCTCAAATTTATCCTTAGTTACATAGTGAGTTCTAGGCCAGTCTCAGCTACATGAGACCTTGTCTCAATAACAACAAGATGAGTAAGCAGGTATTTTAGTAAGTGGGTACCTAACAATCAAATCTTTTCTTTCTCTTTCTCTTTTGAAAAAGTGAAGACACATGGGAAATTCTTTCAGGTCAAGTGAAAAGTGCTCACCAGTACCATATTTTTATACAAACTCTTTGGTATTTTTTTTGTTTTGTTTTGTTTTTCTATTTTTGAGACAGGGTCTCCCTGTAGCCCCATCTGGCCTGAAACTCACTATGTAGACCAGGCTGGCTTTGAACTCAAGAGATCCTCCTGCCTCTGCCTCCCAAGTGCTGGAATTAAAGGCATGCACCACCTCGACCAGCTTACATGAACTTTTATTCATAAAGCTTTTCTAACTGTTCATTTCATAAACTGAATCTTAAACAAAAGCTTCCCTGTATCTAGATAAGCTCTCCAATTCAGAGGATTTTTGCCAGCATAAAGTTCTGATTATGCTAAATGCAAAATGGCCTCAAAACAAATCAATTAAATCCATTTCTCTACAAGCCACACAAGGATATTCTTCATTCACCCAACAAAAGACAGACTATGCATTACTTCCATGAGTGGGAGGAGGCAGTATGGGCACGACAAGAACAATTAGCCCCCAAAGAACCTTTGCCTAGTCTGAGTAATGATCTTGTCCATTGTAGACAAGGGGACCAGGAAAATGCACAATAAAGAGACAAAATTAAGCCGGGTGTGGTGGTGCACCCTTTAATCCCAGCACTCAGATGGCAGAGGCAGAGGCAGGCAGATCTCTGTGAGTTCAAGGCCAGCCTGGTCTACATAGTGAGTTCCAGGCCAGCTGGGGCTACAGGGAGACCCTGTCTCTAAAAGACCAAAAAAACCCCAAAAAACTTCATGATCTAAAAAACTGCAATACATCACAATTCTAGCTACCAATATTTATGAATGAATACACAAACCTCTAAAATTGAAAATACCAGTGTTGATTATCTACAAAAAAAATTTAAAGGCTGGGTGTGGTGGCACACGCCTTTAATCCCAGCAAAGACCAAAAATAAATAAATAAATATTTAATTTTATTTATTCTTCATAAAAAATGAAGAATAAATTTTTATGATGAGTAAAGAAATGTCTTACCTTGTTCAATTTTGAGCAACATGATCTAGCATTAATATAATCACATTCTAAATCAGACAGTGTAATTATCTGGTGATCAAGATAAGGAATTATATTGAAAAAACCTAGGCGCCATGAGGCCACCTGATAGGAATGCCTGACAAGAGGTCAAGCATTAAGAAACTAGCTTATCAGAAAAACAGGACGTAGTGGTCAAGCCATCTGCATCTGGCAATCCCCGGGGCTCGATACCAGGAAATCAGGAGAAAAACCTCTGTGTCCCTGAGGTCACCTCCCATTTAGCAATCCCACTTCCCCTTAGCCCCGACCCTTACCCCATATTTCTGTGTGCTTTTGAAATTACTCTGTGTGTTTTTGAATTAACCAATAACCGCGCTTCTGCTTCTGTACCCTGCTTCTGCTCTATAAAAGTGCAAAAACCCAGCATGGGGGCGCGCAAGTCCTCCGAGGAGACTTTGTGCCCACAGGTACCTGTGTATCAAATAAACCTCATGCTGTTGCAACCCGAAGACTGACTTGTCCTCAGTGGTCTCACTCTTACAATTGGAGGTCCCACCGAGATCAGCCGGTCAGAGGGAACCACCAGGACAACTCCAGTCCCTTCGGGGAGGTGAGTTGGCCGGCCAACCTCAGTGTTGTCTCTGTGTCCTGAGTTGTCTGTCTTTTGTCTGTCTTGTCTGATCCTGTTAGGCAGCGTCTGTAGAATTTGGAATCTGAGATCTCGTCTGTACTTTTGGACAGGGCAAGAGCAAGACGACGGTCTTTGAGCTTTGCCTGTCGGCCTGGGGGACGCCCCAGGGTCTGTGAGATCCACATCCGTAGAACTTTTTGTTCATTTGTATTCGTGGATCTCGTCCGGGCAAGGGACGTGGAATCCCCTTGTCGGACGTCTGGACAAGGGACGTGGAATCCCCTTGTCGG